CTTACATACACAGGCACATACTTACACGTGCACACATGCACACATACACAGAAAGAGACAGAAATTCACTAGAGACAGCTAGAGACAGAATACACCTAAAATATTAGCGACATGCATTCAGAAATACACATGTACAAAGAAAGAGACATCAAAGGCAGAAAAAGCATAGACTCTACTTCCAAGGAATAATAGGAAGGTGAAAAGTCATATTGTGCTCTTGTAACTATAAGTATATGAGTAGAGAGTCACTTTCATGCAAAGCTAGATGAAATTAGGACAAATGTGAATTCCAATGCAGTCTAGGCTGAATAGTCTAAACCGACGTGAATTAAAATAACTCAGAAAGCTGAAGAGAACTGAACATAGCCCACATGGCATTCAAGTACACACTGATGTACAATTCATTGCATTCTCTTATGTATTCTGATTGAATACCTCCTCCGTCCTGAGAAGGACATGGTGCCATACAGCCTCAGCCTCCAGCCATGCAGAGGCTGACCAAACAGCCAAAGAAGAGCTGAGAAAGGTGGATGAGAGCTCATCCTCAACAACACATGATTATAAACTACTACGTGATTATAAATTATCCAACACATATACTTATCAGTGCTTCACGCTGAGCTGACAGCCATTCATTCTCTCAGCACACATACTGAGCAACCTACTCTGGACTTCACACTCTGCTAAGAACTGGGGTCACCAAGAAAAAGATCATCTTCTAGTATTAGCACCCCTGGCGGCACAGTGGTTAAGAGCTACTGTGACCTATGGCTGCTAACCAAAAGGTTGGCAGTTCAAATCCACCAGCCGCTCCTTGGAAACCCTGTTGGGCAGTTCTACTCTGTCCTATAGGGTTGCTATGAGTCAGAATTGACTCGACAGCAACAGGTTTGGTTTGGTTTTTTAGAATTTCTAGACATGGAATTCCTGAAAGTCGTAATTGAGAAACCCCATTGCTCTGTTGGTTTCATGGTATGACAGAGACAGAGTGTTCAAAGACACAAAAGCCTTGGCTTTATAGAAAACAGTTTTTTTTGTTATACAACTCAGTAATTTTACCGAAACCACCCTGCAGTTTGTATTTCCTGTTTTTGTTCTCTTCAGATGCCAGAAGGCAGGAGCTTCACAACTATTGAAGATAAGTTTGTGTTGCTGTTTTTTCTTTTTCTTTTTTTCCTTCATGCAATATTTAGGCATAGGAGTCTGTGGGATAAAAGAACAATTTAGCAGCTTGGGGGTATAAAATAGCCCAGTAGAATAATGAAAGTTGCCTGGATGCTTAGGGGTGGATGCACAGATTTGGTTACTTTTTAAAAATACAAGGTACTTTCACATGTTCCTACTGTGGGGCCTGGGCTAATGAGACTAATAAATAACCGCCCGGCAATGGGCTAAAATGCCCATAAATGTCTTGCACCTGCCTTTCTGCAAAGAAATCCTACATCTGCTTCCAAAAAGCTATTTGCTTGGGGGTGAGGTTGTACATGAAAAGTATATGCGAGAGAGAGGGTGTGTGCATATGTCTGTGCCTACTTCACCTTGTCCCAGAAAAGGCTTCTTTTTAATCACCATCCACTTTTTCCTCTAAATTTCATTATTTGTAAAGATTCTAAAAGATTAGAAAATCGTGTTTTGTCTAAATATGACCTAATAAAATATTCTCCTATCATTTGTTCAACATCTCATTGTTTCAATACCCAAAAAAGGAGAATTTCAGTGGCATCCAGTAAAAGTAGGAACTAGACACAAAATGTGGGTGAAGCTGCAAGCCTTAGGATGCAAACAGCACATCAGAAATCCAAAGATCCGAGATCCAGTGGAAGCCAAGCAGGTCTAACTGTGTAGTTAATTTAACAGATACATTGTAAGTGGGCTGAAATGAACTTATATTCCTTTAATAAACAGAAAAACACAAAGGAAAAAATACAAAATGGAAATCGATAGGTTATTATTTATTCCTAATCGCTTCTAAAAATGACAATGCACGAGTATTTTGTAAGCTGAGAAGCTCTAAACAAATATCAGGTGCTATTGTTTTCTTAGCAAAGAAGGATGATTAACCTGAAAGGAAATTTTTATAGGAAATCATCTTCCACTAAGAAGGAACACCATGTGAAATGGCATGAGACCGAGCAAGGGCCATATTTCAAAAACTTAGTGGCTAGAGTGTCGTTTTTGTTATCTCTGTGATGTAGTCATGTTCTGGGATGCCACAGGAGTGGAATCAAGATATCCATGCCTTCCTTAGGGCCACAAATCTTAGGCCAATGAATCTCCAGAACCCAAGGCCTCATTCCTTCACAGGGGCTTTCCAGAGCCCAAACCCATGTAGATCAGAAGCAAATCCTCTGGCATGGCTGCTGGCCACTCCTATAGCAATGGGATGACTCAAGAGGAACCAAAGTTCATACTTCTCCCATCTACATTCATGTGGGTACTTATGCCAGGAAACTAGAGAAACCCCGTCGTCATACGGTCCCCAATTCTTGCATCGCTGGGAAATGGCATCACAGATCCATTGGAAGTGGTAGATAACTGTACCCAGAAACGGCCTTTGTAAAGGTGTCAGATTTCCTGATCGTTTTATAGACTTAAATTAGTTCCTAACGGGATTTTCATGCATCATCTGACAAAATTATTCTAACATTCCTCTAGAAGAATAAGATTAAAATTATTTTTTAAAGAAGAGTAAGGGTTTTGCCACCAGTTATTTTAAAATATTACAAGCATACAAATACTACATAGTAGAACAAACAGTAAACTCTAAAACTCTCTGTGTAGAAAAACTTAATGTGAGATAAAGGGCATATTTTGAATCAATGAGGAAGGAGAATGAATTCAACCTCTTACACTGGAAAAATTGATGAGATGGAAAAAAATTCAGGTTAGAACTCCATCTCATGTGACTGCCAAAATAAACTTTCATAAAATACTACAATCATATGTAAATTATCACTTAACTGCTCTCTGGAATAGGAAGAAATTTCCAAACATAAAAGTAATAGGAAAAAAACGACACAGGAAAGGACAGGTTTGTCCATACAGAATTTTAAAACCTCTGCATATCCAAAAGAAAAAAATATATGTACTATACCTGTTGCCGTTGAGTTGATTCCGACCCATAGTGATCTTATAGGACAGAGTAGAACTGCCGCATGGGGTTTTCAAAGAGCAGCTGGTGGATTCAAACTGCTGACTTTTGGTTAGCAGCCAAACTCTTAACCACTGCACCACCCGGGCCCCAAATGTACTATATGTATGTAAACATATAAATGATAAATTGAAAAAAAAATGGCAATAAAGGGTCAATATACTTAATACAGAAAGCTTTGAAAATCAATAGGAAGAACACTGTTATCTTAATATAAAAATGAGCACAAGACATAGACATTTTACATTGGCTAATAGATACACGAAAATACGTCTGCCTCAAAAGTAATTTAAAAAAATCAAATTGAAAGAATACTAGAAACTACTTTTCACTTTTTAAACCAGCAAGGTGGTTAACGTGATTAATATCCTATGGTGATGAGGTTACAGTGAGCCAAGCACTTTCCCACACCGCTAGCCAAAGTACAAACTGGCGCAATCTTTGTGGAAAGTAGTTTGGCATTTTGGCAATTTGTTCTAAGAGCCTTTAAAATGTTCATAGTTTATCCTCTGACACAATGATTCCTTTTCTAAGAATTTATTTTAACAAAATAATGAGATGAGCACAAAGATTTTGGCACAGACATTAATCCAATGAGTAATTTTCTGAGCATCTGCTCTGTGCTGGACCTGTATTGGGAGTCATGTGAATAAGACAAATACGGCTCCTTCCATGGGTGGATTAACCAGTAAGCAAGGTATGCACGGGCTTAATTGTGTTTACTTACTAATCTGTGGTGCACAATTTCACATGGGTTTTACCACTTCTTTGTTTATTGGGTAATCTGTCCCTGGCCCCTGCCCCTATGGAAGTTACTATCTATTAGTTTAAAAGGGATGTTAATTGTGTGTTATTTCTAGTACGCAAACTCTGAAAACAATCTAAGTAACAACAATAGGGAATGGGTAAATATATTACGGTATATTCAATAAAGTCATTAAAAATGACTTTTGAAAGAATCCATACTAACATGGGAAAATGCTCATGTTAAAATCCTAAAAGCAAAAATTAAATCATGATGCATAATCAAATATACAATATTATCCCAATTATTCAAAAATAAATATTCATTAAAAAAAGACTAGAAGGAAATATATGAACATGTTAGCCACAGGTAATCTTTGTCTATTTTTCTAAATGTCAGAAAATCTAGGTCCTAGTCTTGGCTCCAACACTACTACTAATATGTGACTTTGGGCAAGTTAGTTAAATCTCATAAACCTTAATTTTTTAATTTGTAAAATGAAGTTGTTTAAGTCTGGCCTTGACTCTCTCCAAATACTCAAATTAGATAATGCGTGAGTATTTTGTAAGCTGAGAAGCCCTAACAAATATCAGGCACTACTGTTTTCTTAACAAAGAAGGATAATTAGATCTGAAAGGATGAATTCCTTTCTTCCACTTTTTCATGTCTCTTCTCTCCCTCAAATTCCTATTTAGTACAAGGCTCACTTGGGGGAACTTTTCATGTCTTGTCCCATTTGCCACAATCACTTACTTTGCATCTTTGCCACATTTATGTGCATTACATTAACCCATACTTATTGGCCAGATATATCTTACTTAACATAATTTTTTAAAAAATTCTGGAATCATTTACGAACTGGGTGTGGACTGGGGTTATCTTGAGTTTTTAGGAAATTATAAAACTATCATTTCTTCACTCCCATCGCAATCTTTTGCCCTAAAGGATGTATAGATGTATCAGCTGGGCTGCCTTAAAATAAACAGATTTATTCAGGAAAACATTTTATAATCTCTCTGATGCATGACATCTGGATCTTAGATACTAATCCCATAACTGTTAAGTTGTAAGTATAAATCTTTCTCCAAGGAGAAGACCACCTACCTGATGCCTTGTGTGGTACTGTTCCCAGCAGAGGGACATTGACGGTTGGATCTGCCATGATGCCTTTATCCAAGGAGCGCAAGGACAGGAATTCATAAAAGTATTCTGCCTACAACAAAAGGCATTGACAATTAGTGCCATGGAAACCACAGAGAGTGAGAAAGCACTCCTTAACTCATCAGCTGTCTGATGCGACTGACATTTCTTCACTATGGGCACTCTAGGGCCCATGATGTCTACGATATTGTACTGGCATAACTCAATCTTCTGTGTTTTAAAACTATAGAATTAGAGCCTCTGTTTGGACAGAAGTGATCCCCTAAAATCATTACAAACATTTATCCAAAATATCCACAAAAAGTAACCTTTTAGCTTAAATGATATTATTTAGTTGCTGTCTCCTAAAAAGATTGAGAAAAAAAAGTGCTCTCAAGGATAAACTAGATAACTGGGATCTCCTAAAATTAAACACTTATGCTCACCAAAAGACTTTGCCAAAAGAATAAAAAGAGAACCTATAGACTGGGAAAAATATTTTTGGCTACGACATGTCTGACAAGGGTCTAATCTCTACAATTTATAGAAAACTTCAATACTTCAACAACAAAAAGACAAACAATCCAATTAAAAAATGAGCAAAGGATATGAACAGACTCTTCACCAAAGAAGAGATTCAGGTGGCTAACAAACACATGAAGAGATGCTCATGATCATTAGCCATTAGACAGATGCAAATCAAAACTACAGTGAAATATCATCTCACCCCAGCAATAAGGCATTCATCAAAAAACAACAACAACAAATGCTGGTGATGTTGTGGGGACACTGGAACAACAAATGCTATTGGGAACATAAAATGGTACAACCACTATGGAAAACGGTATGGCGCTTCCTTAAAAACTAGACATAAAGATACCATATGATCCAGCAATCCCACTACTAAGGATATATCCTAGAGAAATAACAGCCATCACATGAATAGACATAGGCACACCCATGTTCATTGCAGCATTATTCACAATAGCTAAAAGATAGAAACAACCTAAATGCCCATCAACACATGAATGGATAAACTGTGGTACATACACACAATGGAGTACTACACAATGATAAAGAATAACAATGAATCCATGAAACATCTTACAGCATGGATGGATCTGGAGGACATTATGCTGAGTGAAATAAGTCAATCACAAAAGGACAAATATTGTATAAGACCACTATTATAAAAAGTCAAGAATAGGTTTACACACAGAAAGAAACATTCTTTGATGGTTACCAAGGATGGGAGGGAGAGAGAAGGAGAATCACTAAATAGATAGTAGACAAGTGTTAATTCTGGTGAGGAAAGAGCTATATGCAATATGGGGGAAGTCAGCACAACATGGCCAAGGCAAAGTCAGACTCTGAGAGGTACACAAGAATAAAGGGTAACTATGGTAAATGCTATAACATATGTCATCCTGCAACAAGAGCAATAACAAACAATAATTGGTGAGAAGATACATAGATAAATAGTTACAGAAACTACTTAGACATCTGGACTGAACCACTGGGCTTTGAAGGCTAAGGACATAGTCTTGGTGGACATCTAGGTCAGCTGGCAAAACACAGTTCATAAAGATAATGTTCTTCATCCTAGTCTGGTGAGTAGTGTCTAGGATCTTTAAAGCTTGTGAGCAGCCATCTAAGAGGCAACTATTGGTCTCTCCCCGTCTGCAGCAAAGGAGAATGAAGAAAATCAAAGACTCGAGGAAGCTATTAGTCCAAAGGACTAATGGCCCACATGAACCACAGCCTCCTGTAATCTGAGACCAGAAGAACTAGATGGTGCCTGGCTACCACTACTGACCACTATGACCAGGACCAAAATAGAAGGCCCCGGTTAGAAATGTGGAACAAAATTCAAAATTGAAATTAAAAAAAAAAAAGACCAGGCTTATTGGTCTGAAAGACACTAGAGGAAACCCCAAGACTATTGCCCTAAGACAACCTTCTATCTTGAAACCGAAGACACTCTTGGGGGCTGCCTTTCAGCCAAATAATAGACAGGATTATAGAATAAACAATAACATCTGTCACAAATGTGTTTCCTGGAACAATTAACTGTATGAGACCAAAAGGGCAACATTTGCCCAAAATCAAAGGTGAGAAGGCAGGGAGGAACAGGGAAACCAGATAATGGAAACAAAGGAACCCAGAGGGGAAATCGGAAGAGTGCTGACACATTTAGGGAACTACAGCCACGTGTATGAATTATTGATTAGAAAACTAATTTGCTATGTAAACTTTCACCTAGGGCACAATAAAATCTTTTAAAAAAATGCTCTCAAGGAAACAAGTGATGTCAAAACAATCTTCAACTAGCTCTTAGAAAATTCATCACACCCTCTTGGGTTATTCTTTAATTTCTTTCAAATCTAAAGTGAGTCTTTTGATCGGAATTTGGAGAGCTGTAATAAATGGGGGATAATGAAAACAGCAACTTAACAGCAAAAGAAAGTATTAAAGTCCAAAATTTTATGACCTCATTATTAACATTTATTTTTCTGTCTCATTCTCTTTGAAAGGAATTTAATTACGGAGAAAAAGTTCTAAAGATGCAAAACCACCACTTCAATATGACAAGCTGTAAAACTTTACACTGTAAATATTTTCATTTTCTCACTAAGTCTTTAGTTGAGAAAATGATTTCTGCTACTCAAACAGCCATGCAATGTTGAAAGTAGCGATGCATTCTCTCACTGTAGAGCGTTGATGCTTAACTGATTCTCAACTGGGTTGTTTAAAAGAGTTTACGGAAACAATGCGTTATTGCATGAAAATAAAGAAAAATCAGTACATAGTGCAAATACTAAAACCAGAGGCAAGTTGAGTTGTTCTGCAGATATCTATAGAGATATCCAGTATTTGAATGGGTTAATTAAAAAAATTAATTACATAAACGTGGGTTAGAAGGAGATTAAAAAAAGATGAGATTTTCTTACACGCAGTATAAAATTTATTTTCCCACATGGAAGATATTAAGAGCTACATGATAGGCATTCAAACAACTTTTCTTCCTTTTAATTATAATATCAAGTGTACGTGGTGTTCCAAAAACAACTTGCTGTCCAGTCATTCCGACTCATGTTGTCGTTGTTAGGTGCAGTTGAGTTGGTACCCTGACTCACAGCAACCCTTTGCACAACAGAATGAAACACTGCCAGGTCCCATGCCACCCTCAAAATCATTGCTATGTTTTAGCCCATTGTTGCAGCTACTGTGTCAATCCATCTTGTTGAGGGTCTTCCTCTTTTTTGCTGACCCTCTACATTACCAAGCATGATGTCCTTCTCCATGTCCTGATAACATGTCCAAAGTACATGAGACGAAGTCTTGCCATCCTCGCTTCTAAGGAGCATACTGGCTGTACTTCTTCCAAGACAGACTCGCTCATTCTTCTGGTGGTCCACAGTATATTCTGACTCATAGCAACCCTCTAGGACAGAGTAGAACTGTCCCATAGGGTTTCTAAGGCTGTAATCTTTAAGGAAACAGACTGCCACATCTTTCTCCTGCAGAGCAGATGGTAGGTTTGAACCACCATTCGATTAGCAGCTGAGTGCTTAACCGCTGCGCCATCAGGGCTCTTTGTACGCAGTGCTAAGAACTTCATGTGAGGATAATAATGCAAAAGGTTAATCTCAGCTGGTGTAGGGACATGGTCTACGTTTGCAGTGAGTTGAAAAACCCTTCATGGTCTCACTAGGCCAAAAGGAGCTCCTTCATTGACCACATTCCCACTGCAGCCCCTTCTCTGAGTGGTGGCAACATTTCCACTGTTAATGGTTCCCTGGGTGAGTAACATAGCTGTATGAATTAATAACTTCATTCACTAGGTGGGCCTTGAGGATCAGGGGTCATAAGGTAATTCCTATCCTGTGTAAGGCAAGGCAGAGGAGTGAAAGAAGTCTGGTGAAAGAAGTGCCATCAGGAAAGGCAGTTCAATTTGAAATTAATTATTTGAAAGAGGGAACCCTATTTCTGTGACTACAGGAAAACCAGTGACTATTAAAAATGGACTACCTCTTCAAATTATGAATAACATTGGGGAGAATGGGAATTCTGGAACACTTAATTGTGCTCATGAGGAATCTGTACATGGATCAAGAGGCAGTCGTTTGAACAGAACAAGGGGATATTGCATGGTTTAAAGTCAGGAAAGGTGTGCATCAGCGTTGTACCCTTTCACCATACTTATTCAGTCTGTATGCTGAGCAAATAATCTGAGAAGCTGGATTATATGAAGAAGAACGGGGCATCAGGATTGGAGAAAGACTCATTAACAATCTGTGTTATGCAGATGACACAACCTGCTTGTTGAAAGTGAAGAGGACTTGGAGCACTTACTGATGAAGATCAAAGATTACAGCCTTCAGTATGGATTACACCTCAACATAAAGAGAACAAAAATCCTCACAACTGGACCAATAAGCAACATAATGAAAAACGGAGAAAAGATGGAGGTTGTCAAGGATTTCATTTTACTTGGATCCACAATCAACACCCATGGAAGCAGCAGTCAAGAAATCAAAAGATGCATTGCATTGGGCAAATCTGCTGCAAAAGATCTCTTTAAAGTGTTCAAAAGCAAAGATGTCACCTTGAGGACTAAGGCGTGCCTGACCCAAGCTGTGGTATTTTCAATCATATCATATGCATGCGAAAGCTGGACAATGAATAAGGAAGACCTAAGAAGGATTGTTGCCTTTGAATTGTGGTGTTGGTGAAGAATATTGAATATACCATGGACTGTCAAAAGAACGAACAAATCTGTCTTGGAAGAAGTACAACCAGAATGCTCCTTAAAAGCAAGGATGGCAAGACTACGTCGCACATACTTTGGACATATTATCAGGAGGGATCGGTCCCTGGAGAAGGACATCATGCTTGGTAAAGGAGACGGTCAGCGAAAAAGAGGGAAGACCCTCAGTGAGATGGATTGACACAGTGGCTGTAACAATGGGCTCAAGCAGAGTAACAATTGTGAGGATGGTGCACGACAGGCAGGGTTTCATTCTGTTGTGCATAGGGTCGCCATGAGTCAGAACTGACTCAATGGCCCCT